GACGGACATGACGAGCACAATAGCGCTTTTTTCATAAATGAGAAAATGAGCTAAAAGCAGCAGTCTCAACATAGGCTATTACAAGTGTTTTTGAACATGATGTCTCATCCGGCAACAGCACTTGGCACGCTAGTTAGTGGCTAGTGAAACCAACATTATACCACACAGACTCGGCTAGTTAAGAGTCAATGGAACTTGTAGTACGATATTTTCGCACTATTTATTAGTTAATAGTACCTAAAGCTCTGCAATGTCGCGTTTGTTGATTTTTAATGAAACATGCAGCACTACACTGAATAAATTTTTAGAACGTTTCTAGTATTTGTAGCACTAAGTCGGTCAGCTCATTTAGATGTTACTCCCGGTCATTACTGTGCTCTCCATTACATTACTGTGCTCTACGTAGACTACGTTATATGATGGTTTCATAGTAACATGGTTACAGGGAAGCTCACCGCGCTTGACATAATGAGCAGCCATGCAAATGCTCCTAGTCGACCTAGTGACCCTCATGTGCAAGGCAGTCTTAAGATCTTCTTCCCTTAGGCGATAAAACAAAAAAGAACCAATGGCGAACTGCTGTCTTGTACAGAACTGCGATGATGGTCTAGTGATAGCATTTGTGGTAGAGAATGTGTTCTCGATCATGTTCAATGTCCCGATGATATTGAACATCATCGGTAAGCCAGCGGTAGAGGTAAAAAAAAATTCCTGGTCAGTATGTTGTGAAATCGTTATTATATTATTACAGTACTTTGCTGTTGACAAAAATTTATCTTTAGACTTTATAACGAAGTAGGCGCTACAGTCTTTCATAAAAATCAAATCCGAATTTCGAACATCGCACATCAATATTTTGTCAATCTCTCTAAAAATGTACCACCGGTAGGCCACACTTTTTTCGACCTGAATTGATTATTATCATTTGCTAATTGAAAACTTCTTTATTTTATTTCATAATTCCATGAATTTTCCATCTCGAAAAGTTCAATGCAAAAATTAGATTTATAATTGCTTTTTACAATATAACTGTTATGTCAAAATAAAATTCACAATCAAGCACATGCCGCTTCAATAAGATTCATTTATTTAATTAAAGCTCGAGGCAACCGATCGCCAAAAAAAATTAATAATAATCCATTGACGCACTGCAATCGCAACGTGATTTTTAAACCGATACTTGTATCTCTACCAGCTGCTACTATAACATGGCATCCAAGAAGATCGCGATCTTCTCTACTGGCGAAACAGGTTCTATCAACGCCCGTTGAGACGAAAAAACTTCTAAAAACAGGTATGGGAATAACGGATATAGCTCGCTAGTATTACATTCAACCTGTCGAGAGGTTTTTCACCCATTCGAGACAGGGATAATGAACATGTGAAGCAAGTGGCAGAGATGATGAGTAAGTGGAAATAATGATGATGAGTAATTAAGTGAAATAACTGTCCAGAAAGTAAAAGAAATAACCAGAAAGTGACAGGAATGACCAAGGGATAAAGGGAAGGAAGCAGTTCGTCATCGTGCGAGACCAGCGATAAAGGGACATTTCATCAGGATACATTTTCGAAGCATCATAAATGGTGGATATGAAGAACCATGGTTGAATTAATACAACCATGAGCAGGAACTGATGACAATTCAAATGACCTTTGTTGGAATACTGTAAATTCAGCAAAAAATTATTCTCAGCTCCGCTTGGTACAGTACTTACACATTATAACATAGTCAACAGATAGCGGACTTTTCTTTTGATATCTCAGCGCAACAGACCTCAAAACAACAACGTCACGATACAAACGTTAGCGCTACTTTCTATTCTGCATCGCAATGAGCAACGAGCGCCATGATTATTCTGACCACGCAATGCGTGAACGCTAATAAGCCATAGGAATTAAAGCACGGAAACGAACAGCAACCTGTCCGGTTATTAAAGCACAAGAACGCACGCGTCCGATATTAACGTTCATGACGGACGTCTGTGTTTAATGGTGACATCGGGTGCGCAGTAACGGGCTTCTTTAACGGAAACGTCGCGGGCAACTGCGACGCGGTGATAACGTTCGATTACAGCAACATGCAATTGCAGTGAAAAGGACATATACTGTAGTCACAAATAACAGTTATTGATATGAGCGTATTTTGAAGTAAACTTGATACATCAACACTTTCATGCAAGAGTTAGTAAAGTTTATATGCAAATCATTCTGCCAATATTTGAGATTTGGCAGTAAACACAAGCATCGAATTTCTTTGGGATGAGGGGAGTGTACAAAAATTTCAATTTAACTTTACTTTTACTACAATAGATTTCATCCCAATACGCGTAAAACTCTGAAGTATGAATGCGTTGCGTTTTCATGCACCATCTGTCGTAGGCAGCAACCGGGGCCGTTATGATATAGCAAGCAGAAATCAAATTATGATTATTATATTGGTCTGGAAATAAGCGTTACTATGCTTAACCCTCTACCTCCGTAAATCACTCTCCGAGCACATAACATTCAACTTAAATTATGCGTAAACTATTGAGTGCAGCAACCTGAGGACGTTTGTACGCAATAGAGAACATTTTAAAGTTGTTGTACGTGGCGGCAATCATCAGTGCAAGTCATTTTGCGCTCTCTAGAACGTATCCTTTTTGGGAAGTAGGCGCGTGACAATATTGCTCCGGTTACTCGTGTAAGGCCTTATAGGGTTAAATTCTTAGAGGATGATATACAGTAAGAGCTGACGATGCGTCTGATCGTGTCCGAGTTCGTCGTTCTAGAAAGAACTCGTTTGCGCATCTTCCGTTTATAGGCAGGCGCTCGTATTTATGGTTCTACGCACTGCCTTGAACTATTACCTTCTTTTTATGTTCATGAACATGAGTTATTAGGATGAATGAAGTCAATTTGGCATAATGAAGTGGTGAAATTGCAACTTTTTCATGTCATTCACATCTAAAAAATTAAGTTAACGAAGTTCCTTATTCCCAGCAATTATCTCATGGAATGAAAATCTCTCCGTATTACCGAAAGGTTTTCGCTTCTCATGCCCCTGATCCGGACAAATGGCTGCGCGTAAGACGGAATTTATTTCTGCTGCGGGGTCTGGGAAAATAAAACGGACTTTCCCCTCCGCGGTTACCGTCCTCATTCTGTCTTTGAACTTTCTCCGTGTATATTTTCCGGCGCCAAAAGTCATTTTTCTAGCCGACTAAAGCACCCCTAGAAAACTGAATGGGAAAAATTGTCAAAATAGTTAGACTTTTTTACCAACAGCACGAACAGAGAACGGAAGTAGCACTGATACGTCTTTATGCCTGGCCAAACTGGGTCACGATGACCCACAAAAAACTTAAAATTGCATCGCTGTTTTGACAACGTCCCACTCATTTTTCTGACTTGGAGATGAGCATACAGAGGAGTGGATAAAAACTGCCTGAGCTGAGTTTAGTTTTTTTAGGTTCTAACTGAACGAGACACTGCGCTTTGGGCGAGGAAAATATGTTCAACAATACGGATGTTTGCAAAAATTTCCGTGGTTTACTTGCGAGAAAAGCATACATTTAGAAAAGATGTATGCAACATTAAAAAATAATGTTTCACTGAATAATGCCTACATTTAACAAGAAAACAAACAAACAGAGAAATCAAACTATTTAGTTGCAAGCATCAACCACAATTTTTCCTCAAATAAATTCTTTGGTATAAATTTTCATGATGAATAATAATGGATCGCCTAATCATTCATGATGTAAAAATGTATCCGAAAATTTTCGTTAAGTTTCGTTAAGAGTATTATTGCATCAACGCTTCAATATAATGAATGATCTGTTCTTACATCGGCTAGACATTTTCAGTGAAGACATTAGTTAGTTAATCGATACTAGTTAGTATCGATTTTTGGGTAAAACCTTATGTTGGAGAAAAATATTCCATTTAGAGAGCACCCAATTTTGTTTTTACATTAGGATTATTTTGGTTGATATTCCGGTTATAGTTCAATCTCATTCATTGCTATTAACATTCTAAACACAGCAATCTTATTGTAGCAATTACGTGCGTGATTGCTGAATTATTCCAAAATGCAATCATTTTCTAATTTATTGAAATATTTTAATGCACTGCCCTAGCACTCTCCGATATCCAAGAACGGCAGCAAATTAGCAAAAATTTCCAACCCAAAAAAATGTTGGAAGCTTCAGGCCGTGAGAGTCAGCCACTTGTTACGGATCCTTTCTCTGACAAGGATCGGTGGTAAAAAACCCATACCCCCAAGCATGTATGATCTGTACTATGATCTGTTTAATGTTTGCTTTGGTCTGTATGATGATGTGCATGATGCGTACTATGACGTGCATCAGATATTTTATGATCTTTGCGATGTTCAGTATGATCTTTGCGGTGCTTTCTAGGATCTGTATATTATGATCTGTATAACCATTTGTGTTATGTGTACTATGATCTGTCTGAATTTCTCCGACTGAAAATGATTTTTACTATGATGAAAAAAACAATGCATTGTATTTTGCACTTTGAATTTAATGGTAGCTGGACCAGATACAACAGTTGATGCAAACTGCACAGGAATTTCAAAGTCTGCCCAGCGGCAGCGATTTTTTTGCTTGACGAGAGCAGCGAAGTTGGCTCACAACATCGGCGGTATGGGTTTGTTTCGTTTATCAAATATCTTGTCAATTTGAACGTCGGACATATAGAAAAGGATAACAAAATATTTTTTATTTGTGCGCGACAGAAGTTGAATGTATGAAAACTTCCATCTTTCAGGCGGATTTACGGTCGATCGCTAATTTGTTCATAAAGAATGATGAATGTATCTACCGTAGAAATTAGAATTCTTTTCAGGTGAAGGAATCAAATGAAATTGATAGCAAAATTGTGGATGAAATTTTTTAACATTTCAGAGCAACCTTGTAGATTTAAATTGTACAATTAAAATTTAAATCAAAGACTAACGAATAATTATCTGAAATCGATATTAAATAACTCACCAGTTCGATGCAAAAAGTATTGAAGACCGAGGCACTATATATATTAAAACAATATTAATTTCAGCCTCAGCGCTCCAACACTTTAAGTCGCACTTCGATTATTTGGCCTGCCAGCGTAAAGTCAACTCACATTTCTTGGGAGGAACGAATCAACTTTTATCTAGCGCTAATAATGACAAAATATTATTCTAGCGCAGAAGTTTATTCTGCAAAAAAATTATTTCTATAATTTAGTTATGGAATTATTATTTGACACAATTATGACGCACAGAAGAGTACATGTTAATCAAGAAATATTATTTATAATTAAGAATATGTTTATACTTGATAGTGATTAATGTTTCGGTAAAAAATGTTAAAAACGAAAATTTTAAGCTAGGTAAATCAAAACAATACTTGATGATTTCATAGCTTCAGGTTTGAATGACAAGTCAAAATTCAGGCCTGTTTTTAGGATCAATTTACAGTCTACTTGTATCAAATTGAAATTTTTAATTTATAGATTTAAATTTCAATCATCAAAACTCGTATCATTCTCAACATAAAAATTGTAAATAATAAATTCACGAAATTAATTAATCTAACTCTTTGATTGCAGTAATTAATGGAACATATGCATGGATTCATTGTAAGAAGAGTTAAACGGCAGATGAAAATAAAGTCATCCAGCGATTATTGTGTAAACGAAGCTTTGTATACTACAATGTTTTCCTATCAACTGGATAATAGTTAAGCGAATTTCGATATTTCCTTCCAATGGAACCAAAATTCTTTAACCTGAATGTTTTATGAAATGCAAATGACTGTTAGCAAATGTCTGAAAGTACTTCGGAACTGCACTTTGAGGAAGCATTTAAGCTGATATAAAAAACGGTGCCGAGTATTATAGAAGGCTTATAAATGCCTCGGCTCCTATAGTGCCTCCAGTTTATCACAGAGAAATACACTAGCTACACACCACCCCACTTGTTGTCGCCGCGACAGCAGGCGACCCAGTGACCGGTATACGGACGCGCCGGGCCGTTTTATGCGCGCGCAGAGGCCCGTTACTGCAGACTGGCGAGCAGACAACCGCATGGCAGCAGCAGGCATCTTCAGCTGAGTGGCTGGTGATTAACCAAGTGGCTAGTGTGGCAAAACTATGCAGCTACAGGGACTCAATCATGTGGCTGATTCAACTAAACCATGTGGCCGGGGAGACTGAAACATGTGTCCGGGATGGCTGGACCATGTGGCAGGCAGGGCCGAACCAAGAGGCCGGGATGGCTGGACCACGTGGCCGGGATGACTGGACCATGTGGCCGGGATGACTGGACCATGTGGCCGGAATGACTGGACCATGTGGCCGGGATGACTGGACCATGTGGCCGGGATGACTGGACCATGTGGCTGCTGAAAGTTCTTGAATAAGAGGCGGATGTGTGGCTGGAGCTGAGGTGGCACAGCCAATGGCCCTAAGTAGCGATTATTTCTTTCATTTGTATTCATTATTATTATTATTATTACGTGCCTTGAGTGGGTTAAGCAACGTCACTCGGACTTCATCGCGGCGAGGATACACCAGGAAATGACGTGGGGAGAAATTAAGACTGATACATCGCTTGTGATACGTAGCTAAGCCGAGATAAAAGCGTTTGTAAGATTCAAAGAAATTCTTTAAAAAAATCGATATTAGTCTTCAGTATTTAAAAAATCGATAAAGTTTTGTCATTAATTGCATCAATGCACATGGTATGCACTAATAACAACATTATGTGTCATGTCGGTTCCAAAATTACAAGTCTGAAGCTTACTGCACAGATTTGTGCTGGAGAAAATACACTCGTATGTATGACATCTATTTTACCAACTGCCTCCTAATACAAATCCTTCTGATCGCCCACGTATTTCCCTGTTCTGATCAGTCTTTTTATTTTCAAACTCCATTACCTTTAAACGATAAATTTTCTTGCAAGTGCAAAATACCACATTTCATCCATACCAAATAGCTGAAACTTTTTCCTTGAAAATAATTTTGAAAAGTGTCATATATGTGCTCTTGGTCTAATCGCAGCCTGAAATTAAAGGTTTTATATTTGAATAATGGAACGACTGAGCTCCATACATGAACAGAAAACGCTATTATCAATGGCGATAAAATGCGTGGTTTTTCTCTGCAGTTTTCAGTTTTGTTTCGGTTTAGCCATCAGCTGCTTTCACAAAATTTGGCTCACTTTACTTGCACTATTTTCTTTCCAATTCTGACTTTCAATTAAAAATGTGCGTTTATGCAAGGTTTGAACATGAATAATTCGAAAAGCGAAGCGAAAATCTGTATTAAACTCGTAGAAAATAAGAACTAGCTTAATTACCTAAATCTCAGGACTCATACTCATATCAAACGGAAGAATTTGCCGACGATGTTCAGCATCGAGAAAAAACGAGCTGTATAAATGATAATATTTTCTAATAAACATATGTAGGAACAACTACCATAGGCGAAAATAGCCATAACGTCAAAAAGGCAGAAAAGAAGATTGCTAGCAGCTACAAAAACTACAATATCAATAAACTTTAACTCTACAACAAAAAACTTTGCACATGAAAAGTAAGCAAGACGGTACCATATAATGTGTAAATGAGCTAGTAATCTACTATTCCAACGGGAAATAGAAGTAATAAATGCATGAGTCAGTCATGCAAAAATAAACATCGGGAAACTGTGCTCAGTCAAGGAGAATGAAAATGTATATATTTAGCTAAACCTTCAGAACTTGGACAGCAGAGTTATATTTGGACTGGTGGAAAAATTCGTCAATAAAATCTATTGACCATCATTAGTTAACTCTGAAGTAAAATGAATCTAAAACGGACTTCATCGATGATTCATAACAACGGCATAACAAAATATTGTACCACCTCAACACAATGACACTAGTAACAAGTTTTTGGAGAGTCATATTAGTAAATAGCTGTAATATTTAACTTGGAGGTACCAAGCAGCAAATCTAGTTCAGTGTTATAACTCAACTTTACTGAATTTAAATTGCCATGATGTTACCTTAGTAATGCCCTGCAATGTGAATGTAAGGAGCGATACTACAGGAAAAGCTGGCGTTCTAAATTATAATAAGAAATAATCATCAGAGTAGAGCTTCCGTTTCAGATTCTTCTTAGGGGCCGGACGGTCCTCTTCGACGCAAGAGTGACTCGTAACCAGAGAATAATCTTGCATGTCATCGAAATGATCTTTCTTCCTTGGCTTGGCTTTAGGGAAGCTCATATCAAGAACTTCTTCGAATATTTCATCGTCGCCAGGCCACGTAAGCACCTCGCTCGCCTCGCACTGCCGGGCAGGTTGCGTGCGATTGTGTGCAATCCAAACCTTCAAGCCTTTGCCGTTTTCCCGATTTGGCGGAAATTTACCATTGCTCCTAGAGTTTTCTACAGAAATATTGTTGTTTTTAGAGGATAATACTTGACCAACGTCGGGTTCTGGAGACCTTGAATCGGGATTTGAAGCGCGGACTTCATCAGGCAAGGCAAACTTTGGTACTGGAGAAGGAAAATCAAATGTCAGTGTATCGGCTTCCAACAAAAATTCTTCATTTGGTTTACTAACGCTTGAAGTTACTCGACATTGAAGATTATTCTCAGAGGATTCGGATGATTTTCCAGCGGTAAATAAATCAGGAAGGACATCATCATCATCATTTGAATTGATAGTGACGGCTGACAGAGGCAACGAACGTCGACGATGAGCAGCTAGCCTCGTCCTGGTGACAACGACGCTCGAATTGTCTTCTTTTGGACACGAAAATTGCCAGGCTTTCTTTGGCTTGGGCTCGATTACGGTTGCGTAATTTTCTTTATTGTTTTCGTAAGTTTTCAACCCATTGTGGTTGAGTGCTGCACGTTCATCGTCATTTGGATGTGACGTTGATGAAACTTCATACACGTTATGCAGGCTAGCGTTGGCATTCTTCGCCGATGATTTAGAATGTCGGGGTTCGCAATTCTCAGTGGAATGTTGAGCTGAAGTTTCGTAACCTCGTTCCATTGTTGAACTGAAATTGTTATTGATATCATCGAACCCACTCTTTGAAGGAAAATTTTTTTCAATATCGTTATTCTGAGCTTGTATCGCGCCACGTCCCGGTACGGTTTGACTGCCACACAAACTAAACGCAAATGCTCTGTCATTTTCTGGCTTGTCAACGTTTCTTTCAGGATTCCTACCCTTAATTAAATTAGTGTTCTGATCAGTGTTCTCATTATACTGAATTCCAGTCCAATCTTCACCGCCGAGGTCAAAAGTTGCGCTGAGTTTACCCGCGCCTGCACCAGAATCATTGCCCTCGATATTACGAGTGGCTTGGCTGAACTCAAAGTCATTTTTGGATTCACGGCGCGAGTTATTTTCAATATCTGCAGTTCGCTTAAAGTTGTAAAAATTATCTTGAAATGTGTTGCTTTGTTCTTGGTCTTTATGTTTAGTAATATTGTTCTCCTGAAATATCTGCGTGGCTTCTAAATCGCTGCCTGTATCTTCGTTGCCGTACGTTGTGTCCTCAATAGCACAAGTTTTGGCCTCGCTAGGACAATTTGTGGCCTCAGTAGTACAAGGTATGTCCTCATTACGACATTCGTCTGATAAATCAACGCGATTAGAATTTCTTTGCGACGCTGAACCATTTCCTTTTTCAAAAACTCTAGAGGACTCATCGTTGTACTTTTGCTGGGCGGGTTGCGTGCTAAATACAAATTCTGGCTCATCGAAAAAATGGTCTGGATGTTCTCCATTTTTTGGTAACATCGTCACGTCACCACGAGACGTAGTTTCACCATCCCGAGACGTAGTTTCATCATTAATTAACGTAGTTTCACCATCACGAGACGTTGTTTCACCATCACGAGACATCGGTTCACCATCACGAGACATCGGATCACCATCACGAGACGTAGTCTCACCGTCACGAGACGTAGTCTCACCGTCTCGAGACGATTTATCCTTGGGGTCCTGCGACGCCAAAGATCCCTGAAGAGGCGTCGCACGTCGTACGATGGCCAGGACGCGCTGGTGACGAAGGCTTGCTTTGGTCTCCTCCAGCTCCTGACGAAGGCAGGCGATCGTCTCGTCTTTCTTCCTCAGCTCCGACGTGAACTGCGTCTGCACGCGCTCCAGTTTCTGTATGGGTAATTAGGTGAACTTTAAAAATGAAAATTGTAGTTGACAGAAGAAACCATCTAAAGTTTTCTGCATGAAATTGATTACGTATGAAAAATACTCTGTTGTGTTTTTTTATTAAAAATATATATGAAAATATGTATATATATATATACTAAAAAATACAAAATTTATGCAAGCGTTAATAAATACAATAAAAACGACAGGAAAAATAAAAACGACAGGAAAAATACCAAACTTGCATGTGGCCCTCGAGGACTTAGAGAATAGTTGAAGTTCTGTCCAGTTTCTAGGAATTTCACCCACCAAAAAAATAACATACGACGGAAAATGTTGGACAACTTATTATGTCACAACAAAATTTTGGTCATCTTTGTAATGCTCACGGAACAAAAGGCGAAAAATTGATATGAGCGCAATCAATTTATTTTAGAAAATTGTTGAAACAAATGTGCTAGTTTATGCACAAATCCAGTTTCTTTCGAGACAGTGATAGAAAACGATTCCAGTTAGAGGAGAGACAGCAGGAAAAGTAAAAAGTGGAAGAGAGAAATAAAACACGTACATCGGCGTACAGAGATACATGAACGTACAGAGACACGTACAGAAGCGTACAGAGACACGTACATTAGCGCACAGACACGTACATTAGCCGATCAGCGTTCAGAGACACGTACATTAGCGTACAGAGACACGTACATTAGCGTACAGAGACACGTACATTAGCGTACAGAGACACNCCCCCACCTGCAGGCGCTGCTGCTGCTGTCTTAAGCCCCCACCTGCAGGCGCTGCTGCTGCTGTCTTAAGCCCCCACCTGCAGGCGCTGCTGCTGCTGTCTTAAGCCCCCACCTGCAGGCGCTGCTGCTGCTGTCTTAAGCCCCCACCTGCAGGCGCTGCTGCTGCTGTCTTAAGCCCCCACCTGCAGGCGCTGCTGCTGCTGTCTTAAGCCCCCACCTGCAGGCGCTGCTGCTGCTGTCTTAAGCCCCCACCTGCAGGCGCTGCTGCTGCTGTCTTAAGCCCCCACCTGCAGGCGCTGCTGCTGCTGTCTTAAGCCCCCACCTGCAGGCGCTGCTGCTGCTGTCTTAAGCCCCCACCTGCAGGCGCTGCTGCTGCTGTCTTAAGCCCCCACCTGCAGGCGCTGCTGCTGCTGCAGGTGTTGCTGGTGCTGCAGCTGATGCTGGTGCTCTGCCCTGACGCTCGCCAGTCGCTCCTCTAACCTGCGCACCTCAGAGGCGCATATCTCGCGCACCTTCGCTTCTGCCGCACGTACGTAAAATATTACATCATGTGGCCGCCATTTTCTATATTCACTGGAATTTGCAGCAGTAGAATTAGCCTACTAGACGTAGTTAATTTCTGATGCACCACAGCATTCAGTGTTAGACCCTATAGATGCCTGTAGTACCCGGGGAACCAAGCTATTCGGTCAATTAGATTTCTATGACTACTTAAATAATTTTTTATACCATTTCATTGTCATTGCTGTCTTGGTTCGTATATTGTCATTTCCTGTATATATCATGAATTATTCTTTGTATATTTTCCTTATATATTTTCTTGTAATTTTTTCTAGAAACCGTATGTCATGGAATATTCGTTTCTTATCCTGTCATGGTGGCGCGTCATGGAATAGCTTAGCAAACGTTCCGAAAAACTAGCCTACAAGAAAGTCCTTTACATGTATCAAATTTCGCATGCAGTTATAGTCGCAATACTAATATTTCAAGAATTTTATTGTTTTATCACGATATACACCTTGCACTCAATTTCATAGTAATTTTGCTATAATTAGCACCTATTTAACATATTTTTTAAGTTTGTCTTCCATCAGTTTGAAGCTTCACCACGACCTTGCAGTGCCCATTAATTAGTGCGCGGCCAAAATTTAATTTCTTGCTCTACCAATTTTTTCCTATTATCAACTGGTCAGCCCCGATCTCTGATAAGCTGGGCCATCATAACTCGCTTTGTTATCTTCATTTCCCCTCACTATTGCCCTCAAGTGTTCCGAAAACTTGAGGGTTTGAATAAAATTTTATACAAAAGTTTTCACAGGCAAAAAAAAAAAAAAAAACGCAAAGAAATCCAACTTGACTGTAAAATTTGATTCATAGATGAAATGAATATTTTAGAATTCATTATAGTGCGATGAATACTTTGCGAGGATTATAAAGAAAATACTTTTCATCAAAAGAGAAGTGATTCAATGTCATCAAATGCGGTGAGAAATGCTACAAGTAAAATATAATACCTATATAATATACCACACGCAAAAAATAGAGAAGATAATTTATATTTCTAAACTTAGAGAAGCTTATAAATTAAATAAAATAATAAATAATATATAAGTTAATAATATATAAGTAAATAATATAAGAAATAATATTGAAATAATAATATAAGTAAAGTTACCTTGCTGCAGAGCTTTATCCTGCAGGAGTCGGTTCTGCTCCTGCGCATCCTGCTTCGCTGCGACCAGCCGCTCCTGCAGCTCCTGCAACGCTGCCTCCTGCTCCTGCGTTAGCAGCGGTATAATTGAAGCGTTATATGCCGTGATGCTATAACACCTACACATGAAGCGTTATATGCTGTGATGCTATAACGCCTACACATGAAGCGTTATATGCCGTGATGCTATAACACCTACACATGAAGCCTTATATGCCGTGATGCTATAACGCCTACACATGAAGCGTTATATGCCGTGATGCTATAACGCCTACACATGAAGCGTTACATGTGAAGTCAGACATCAGTGAAGTCAGACATCACTGAAGTCACATATCGTTACATTCAATCACACAAATAAAAACAAAATAAAAAGTAACTTGTTTAAAATGATTATTTTCTAGAGTTCGATAGATGATATGGATAGAATAACATATTTATACTGCACAAATGACTTGATAAAATAGCAGTAAATGCTTCAACGTCAATAATTTAACGAGTATTTACTTTAAACATTCTCCCAATATTTTACGCAAAATAAGTAGGTAATGTTCGTCACCAACAAGACTCGACGAAGCATTGGTATTTCAAAATTCTTGCATCTATGCAAGACCAAGGGCACCTAATTGTTGGGTGAGTATGCAAGTATAACACATTAAGTATATGGCACAAATGTTACATATACTCGTAAGAAAATATGTGGTGTAGTGATATATCTACTACAATTTAATATTTAAGTACAATCGCACTACCATACCGTCAACAATACTAAAGTCGCCACACAGCTGATACAATATCTAACTCGCCGCTCCTGTATAAAAATGGCAATAATACTGTTTAGAACTACGATTTGTCGGGTTCGCTTCCTAAATATTAACTTTACCTATACAAAAAAGGTTTTCTAGCACCTGAAAATTATAAAAGTATGTTATAAAATAATATACATTTGGCTCTAGTATGTTATAAAATAGTTCGTTCCTATCGAAAGCCGGCGACATAAGTACTGTGGTGAATTGAGTTACATGGAACAATACGACGGCTTGTGATGACTCAGACTTACCTTTTCTCGCTCGACGTGGGCCTGTTTTACGCGTTCTAGTTCTTCACTCAGACGATTTTTCACCTCTGTAAATGGTGAAAAAATCTCATTTCACTGAAGGAAAAAAACTAATAAATGAACAATTTCTAACTAAGTTCTGGCTCGAGTAAGAAACATAAAGATAATTTATTCGTAAGCTTCTTAGTTTCCTTGCTTTGATAAAAATTTAATTGTTATTCAACTGCTTGATGGCACCGTTGAGAATCTGAACACGTATAACGGTCAAACTGAAATGGATACGATAAATACCACACAATATAGAGCATTGATAAATGGTAATTATACGACTATAATGCATGGTAGTTGAACGCTTTCGGGGAAACTGTAAAATTATTCAAAGCTGAAACCAAAATGCTAAATTGGTCTACTTGATGATATACACTGGCCTGTGCTCGGTTCCATTGATAACACTTTGAATATTAATTTTTAAAAAATGTCTCAACTTTTTGCAGCACCGCGGCGTGAAACTGACAAATTTTCCCGGAAAACGAACAGTGTCATCATTCAGTTATGAATAACAAGCAAGAGAACAAAGAGATGACGAATATGAAGACAGATCTGCGGCCAGTTTATTGCACTATAAAAGGAATTCTGAAGTGACAGGGGAATTAATTATGCAGTTGGTTATCTGAACAACACACTTGAACACGGCGCCGCCTGTTACACGCTGTATAGATAGAAGCTTTACAAACGCCGCGCGTCTAGACAACCAAAAATTGCACCACCAATAAACTGATGAAAGACCGCAACAATTTTTGCTTTGAATATATCGTCTCAGGCAGAGAACCTATTCGGTGAACAACCGAGTACAGGAAACCTTAAGCTAAGAAGCATTCCATTAAAATAGAAACAAATAAGAAACCTCAGAACAAATGCGAAATTAGTTCCTTCTGAAACTCAAACAATTGATTATTTGCCACTTGAAGCAAGATAATATCAGTGGTCGACAGTCTAAGAATGCAGCGTGACCGCAGTCTTTGCCGGACCAAAATGAATTACATATAATTCATTTTACAAAAATGAACTTTGTCATCGATGTTACCACTAAAAACCACATCACAGTTTAACTTTTGCCACTCGTCTGTTCCTACTTCTTGGGCATGACAACCGCAACATCGTGGTGGCCGCAATTGTTTTGTAGCAGCCACTGAAACTTGGTATGAATGACTCGAGTAACGTGGGCATACACAGAGGCCTGAGGCTAGTGAAAAACATACAAGTACAACAACAAAGAAGGCCAATATTGTAGCGGCTATACCGAAAGAACGGATCGATGGTCCATGAGACGAATGTCTTCATGGGAGAACTTCGTGAAATAGGTACATGAATAAAAAAACATTTGAGAAAAAAATAAAACATCTAAGCAAAGAACGACCTTGTTTTATCAGCTACCAAAACCGAGGAGTGAGTTTTGTGAAAAACATCCCAGCCTTTAAATTAAAAGGTAAATATGAAGTCATAAAGGCCGGTTGATATGAAGGCAGGTTTATATGAAGTCATAAAGGCCGGTTGATATGAAGTCAGGAAAGCCAGTTATTATGGCCCCAGGTACAACATGCCAAGAACGAAAATAGGGTCATAAGACATCATGAAGTCATAAGACATCATGAAGTCATAAGACATCATGAAGTCATAAGACATGATGAAGTCATAAGACATCATGAAGTCATAAGACATCATGAAGTCATAAGACATCATGAAGTCATAAGACATCATGAAGTCACAAGACATCATGAAGTCTGTCTCTTATACACATCTAGATGTGTATAAGAGACAAGTCATAAGACATCATGAAGTAATAAGACATCATGAAGTCATGAGACATCATGAAGTCATAAAGCGGTAGACATGAGAGGCAGCACTGCAGCATACAAGGCTCATTGTTAACGCGTTCGTTGCCACGACTGCGCGCTTATCAGCACAAGCAACATGCGGGCTGCATGCATCTGTCTACAATATTAAAAACAACTAGAAATAAATAAATTAAATATAAAGACTGATAGATAAAAGAAAAAAAACGAGGACAGTACAAATAGTTCTTTGGTAAAAAAATAAAAGAGGGAAGAAATAGAGGAAGAACTATATAGGTCATGTGTCGTATAAAATTCTATAGGCAATTTTGCCTGCACCTACTTGTAAATAAGAATTCGA